AACACACATACACATGCATGCATGCACACTCACACAAATACGCACAAATAAATAAATAATAAATAGATAGATGATGATATAGATAGATGGATATAAATAAATAAATAATAAATAAATAAATAAATAAATAAATAAATAAATGGGCTCAAAAACGAAAAGTCAATCAGAAATGACTTGTGAAACACTTTTCTGTAATGGGAACTAAGGCCAGTATTATTTTCCCCAGTTTCAGATTCTTGTCAGATTTGCCAGTTGTGCAACTCCAGCACCTTCTACTTTCTGACTGCTGCCCTAGAAGTTTATTTTTACCTTATTTATAATTTTTAAAGCTTTAGTTCATATTATTTTATGTACATAAAATGAATCTGCGCACATGTGTTGAACTTTAAAAGCACAATAACCATGAGATACCATCTTTTCATCTGTAAATTAGCTACTGCTAATATATTTGTATGGATCTGTGTGTTGGTATGCATGCAGTCTATTATAATGAAACCCTCCCTGGGTTATTCTCCTGTCTTGTGGCCCTGAATTTTACATTTCCCTTCCTAAAATAGTTTTATTATATCTGTACATGCCCAAAGTACTTCACTGATTTCTCAAAACTTTTAAGCACCTATTATTTTTCTCTAGCACTGGAAAACAAAACAAATATATTTGCCTTCATGAGGATTTTGTTCTATGTGATTTTTCTTTCTCTTGAGATTTAAAAAAAAAAAAAAACACCATTAAATATAAAAAAAATAATAGTTTAAAAAGAAAACTTGTCAGTAATCAGATGAGAGAAGCTTTGCCATTTCTAGTTAAAAAGGAACCTACTGTTAAAGACAACAAGAACAACACACACACACACACACACACACACCACCACCACCACCACCACCACCACCACCACAACAACAACAACAACAACAAAAACAACAACGAAAAAGGTTAGTGTACAAATAAAACAAAAGATTTTTTTCCACATTAGAAGCTACTAAATATGTCAGGAGCAGTCAGCCTCCATATTGAAGGTATATATTCAATTCAGTAAGACACCTTTGCAGAATGCTATTTTCATCTAGCTTATGCTTATGCTAAAAGGCATATGCTGGGATCCAAATTTGTTCTATCTGTCCTATAATCTGCTCTAGATCCTAACACCTGGAAATGTGCCAGTGTGGGCTCAAATACCCATGTTCAAATTCTTTAGTAAAGCATGCTCCCCACTTCCTGCATGCACTGAGATTCTGAGTTAGTGTCATCCAGACAGATACCTGCCACCAGGTAAGCAGTGCACCCACACCAGAGCTTCAATCATCCTCCCTCCAGACCCCCAAAAGGCAGAGCACTAAACTACAACGCCAGTTAGTACAGAGGGAAGCACAGGCCCATCACCATGCACTGCAAGCAGGCTGGTATATTTACTTGTAATTGACATCAGCTGTGATGGTCTCTGACCTTCCATTTGTAGCACTGCTATGTAGGAATAAATAAGCATTAATGGGAATGGAAACAAATAATAACAATGAAGTGGAATAGCAAAATAGACTTGACTAAACGGCATGTTTTTATGGTATATCTAAATTTGGCATAAGCGACCTTAGGCAGTAAAAAAACAAATAAACTCAATGGTCAAAGATGAAGCATGAGAATAATGTGACATGTCACAGAGCAAGCTTGTTGACAAGGCAGGCCTGTCCTAAGTGGCCTTGGACTAACAGAGAAGCTAATACTGCTCATTCCAGCAAAACAACAAAAAGCCAGTTATGGAACAGTAAGCTTCATTGCCCAATGGCCCAACATTTACTGAGGCCTTCTAGCATTTTTGGGCATCAGCCAGACATTTTATCCCTTAAGGATGAAAATGGCAGGATAGTTCACTAAATACAAAAACACCAAAAGATTTAGAAAATGACATTCCACATGCCAATGAAAGTTTTCACATAAGGTAAAGGACTTGGGCTAAAAGTGCTTTATCTCAAATTTGAATAGCTACAAGTATCTTCTTTCTTCTGAAACCCAAAATATTTCTGAAGTCTGAGTATCAATTAATGTAACCAGCACTCACTTCCCTGCATATCACTTTCTTCTACATAAGAGCATCTCACAGGCAGCCTGAAGGTGGCCATGCTTTTGGTGGTCTCAGGTAGACACACCAAAGCAATTGCCTTCTGACTATTCTTTAGCAGCAATGATCTCATTGATGCAGTGAGGATGTTTAAGGGGAAAAAAACAGATCTATAAGAGCTTTCTTCTTAAGAGAAAATCAAGGACAATTCCCTTTGCAATGGGTAAAGCTGTGGTCACTTTACTCGGGAAGTACATCAAGAATAACAATACTTTTAAAAAGGAAGAAAGAAAGAAAAGATCTAGGGATACATCAGAGAGAAGAGGAAGAGACCCAAGAGGAAAAGTTCAAGAAAACATACACGCCAAAAGAAGACAGTGACTTACCGAGGAATTGCTGGGAGGCGAGAGCCATTTTCATCTATGAAGTGGCCTCCTGCATTGAGGACCCAGCAATGATGGAGGGACATCAAAGCATGCCTTGCAGTGGTGGGGTTGTCCTTCCCATTCTGACTGTCTGCATTCTTAAGCGGGGAAAACTCATCTTCCCGTAATACTTCATACACCACAAACTTCCTAGAGTGAAACCATACAAAGACTTCATTCTTGGGAAAAGAAACTGACTCTGACTCCTTCCAACACCCCAAGTCTCTGGAATTCAGTAATAGGGTTTCTTCATCCAGTTACAAATGAGTCATAAATAATGTTCATCAGGATCCAAAGAAAATTGGAACTTTCTTCTCCAACTGCAAAACTCTTCATTTTAGATGAGAAAGACTATAAATTTTAATGTACAAAGATCACATTAATATTTGTTCTGGGGTGGGAAGAGGAACAGATAAAAAGGATGCACTAGTAAAGCAAATGGGAAGCCACATGTGGAGACTCAGGCCTATGATCCCAACATTCAGGAGATAAGAGGCAGGAAAATCAGGCAATCAAGCTCATTTTGGCTACACAGTGAGTTCATGTAGCCTGTGCAACACAAGACCATGTCTCAAAAACCAACTAAAAGAAAAGAAAGGCACATGGCTGGGTAAAGTTACACAACTAACTTGTTTTCTGCATTTATATATTGGCTAACTTCTGAAACACGTATCTCAGCATCCAATGTGACCTTTACACCATGAAAAAGCATGTTCACTGAAACACATACTTACAGGACAGTGATACACCCTCAACAAACATGGATCAACTGTTTATATTAACCTTCTAGTCTCCCAGTCAAAAAACAAATGACTTTAAAAACTGTGCAATAAAGTTATAGTGACAGTTTTTTTTTTTAAACTGTTCTTTCAGGCAGCTCAGACCATACTCCTGAGTGATGGTTTTATAGTACAATAATGAATTCAGAATAAATACTCATGATCACTTATGTCTACCAGAGATACATACTATCAAACATTTCCTGATCATAGTTTCT